TATTCGTTAAAATCAGTGAAAATGAACGTAGAAAGCGTATCCGTGTGGTGCGGCTGACACCGACAAGTAGAACAGTATACGCAGTTTACGTTCAGTGGATACTCTCCAGAATGGCGCTATGGTGACGCGGAGGAGACGAATTGATGAATAAAGTTGTTATTTTTGTTTTCTTTGCGTACAAAAAGTATTCTCGTCGCTTCATAAAGTTCAGATTGAACCACTGATGGCAGATGGACTATTTTGACGATGTTTTTCATACTTTTCTGGGCCTTGACAGTGTTATTTACTTGGCAGTCAATGGGACAGTCACTATCCTCCCGGTTTTCATCCAAAATATCTTAAATTGTGTTCCGAAGATGAACAAAGCTTTTACGGGTTTGGAACGACATGGGAGTAAGTGATTAATGACAATTTTCATTTTGGGGTGGAGTAACCCTTTAACAGTATTATAATGTTACAAAAGAACAGTAGTGTGAAATGACTAGTCATTTCAGTTTGCTAGCTAATGAGTAACATGAGTTTAAATTACTTTAGTTTATAGGGACATTATAGGGACAGAGGTAGCAGAAACTGTCCTGAAATGTTTTATGATTGCTCATGTACTCATGAAGTCTTAGACACAGAGCCCTGGTAAAACAATTAAATCTAAGCTTTTACTCACAGACAGATGGCTCTGAACTGGCCCTGTAAGGAGATTATTACATTTGCAGGTGTTTCCTCGTCTTGAGATTGTCTGGATTTTCCTGTATAGATTATTAATTTTCGCTTGCCCAGATGCTACACAGCTGTTCACTGTCCTCTTTTGTTTTTGCTAAATTATTTTTGTCATTTCCTTTTATGTCATTGAGATGGGGAGGTATACGTACAGAGAGAGAAAAAAAAACAGTTTTCTTCCATGCTGTTCAGGATTTAATTACATTATAGGGACAGAGGTAGCAGAAACTGTCCTGAAATGTTTTATGATTGCTCATGTACTCATGAAGTCTTAGACACAGAGCCCTGGTAAAACAATTAAATCTAAGCTTTTACTCACAGACAGATGGCTCTGAACTGGCCCTGTAAGGAGATTATTACATTTGCAGGTGTTTCCTCGTCTTGAGATTGTCTGGATTTTCCTGTATAGATTATTAATTTTCGCTTGCCCAGATGCTACACAGCTGTTCACTGTCCTCTTTTGTTTTTGCAAAATTATTTTTGTCATTTCCTTTTATGTCATTGAGATGGGGAGGTATACGTACAGAGAGAGAAAAAAAAAAGTTTTCTTCCATGCTGTTCAGGATTTAATGTTTACTAAAATTTGAGGACCTTCAAGACAACTAAACACTTTATTCTTTAACTAGTTTTGGCAGTCATGAAGTTTTGCCATATAATATAGAACTTCCCATCTACCATTGTTACACATTTAGGGCTTTTAGCTTGACCCAGTGTGCGTGCAGTACATTGATCCATTAATGTGTTAGTTCGGTGCTCTGTCATTGGATTTCATTTCTGTTCTCTTTACCCTTTCCTGCATGCTGCTGATCCTGAAGCGCTTTCTACTCTCTGTAGTTTTAGTCTGGTTTTCAGCTTACAACACAGTAGATATTATTAAATGTTACAAACACAGTATGGTACAGCACACAGTAAAAATAAAAAAGAGAGAATAGAAATAATAAAGTATACTGTGTATTTGTGTCCATCATCAGCAACCCAAGGACTGCCTGAGGCTGGATGAGGCCATGTTGGTAAAACAGTTGCTCCCTGAAATCTGTCACTTCCTGCACTCGTACCGTGAGGGCCAGCAGCACGCTGCTCAGCTGCGCAGTTCTGCCTCTGCCGTGCTCTTCTCTCTCAGCTGCAACAACTTCAATGCCGTCTTCAGTCGTATCTCCACCAGGTACCTCTCAAACAAACTGAGGGGTTCCACAGGGCTTTGTTCTAGGACCTCTTTGTGTGAATCAGCCCCCCAAATACCCCCATATTAACTAATAATTACAAGTCTTTGTAATTTGTATAAATGCTGGGCTGTTTTTCTTGTTTGACTACAAATTGAACAGTTAAAGGTTTTACAAATTATTAACTTTAATGTACCAATGTCTCCTCATAGGTTGCAAGAGCTCACAGTTTGTACAGAGGACACAGTGGATGTCCATGACATTGAACTCATCCAGTATATCAACGTAGACTGTTCCAAGTTAAAGAGACTCCTACAAGGTAAAGAATGCTCTAATTTATTAAGATTTTATTGCTTCAGTATTCTGAAAGTATATTAGGGCCTTTCGCACCGCGGGAACCTTTTCATAGTACCAGAACTAATTGTGGAGCTACCCACTTTTTGGCGTTTTCGCACCACGGAACTGGGTGCGATTTTAGTACCGGACTGCCTTTTTCGAGAACCAAATTAGCTCCTACTTCAGAGCAGGGTCTAACCAGCACAACTGGTACTAATCGTGACGCAAGTAGACATTGATTGGCCAAACGCGTATGAAAACACCCTCATCCGCCATGATTTAAAACGCCGTGTAAATGTACTGTAAACATTGTCAACTTATTTCGCAAGTATGGAGAACAGCGATAGATGGACGGACGCTGAAGTGCAGGCACTTGTAGCAAATGTAGCACTGCCAGTTGTCGTTGGAGATTCTTAGTCCTCCTTTCCGTTCTTTCAATCGCTTTACGTATACGTCGACTTTCCATGTCCATTATTGTGAAACCCGTGAGACACAACAAAAACACAGCTCCGAGCACAGCGTCCTCCATCCTCCTGTTTTTAATGTTGTTCTTTGTTTCTGTTGTTGAACGCCGCGCACAAATGACGACGCTGTCGACCGGCTTACGTCACTTCTTAGTACACACTCTCGGTGCGAATGCAACCCTTTAAATAGTACTGGGAAATAGTTCACGCAAAATCGTCCCAGTACTTTAGTACTGTACATTTTAGTTCTGGAACTAAAGCGGTGCAAAAGGCCCTATTGTTGATGATTAATTATATGGGTAGTCTAAAGCTGCACAGTTAAAATCAGAATCAAAATATGGCACAGAACAAGTATTAAGCCACAAATAAATGTAAATAAATATGTAGTGTATAAATAATTTAAAATACATTTATTTAAATAAATATATGGTCTTAAACTGCTTGATAACTTCCTGCATATTCCCTTCAGAAACAGTACTTAAATTCAAATCTTTGAAAAAGCCGGCTCAGCTTGCAGTAATCAGCAGTTTGGAAAAGGTATGTGCTTTGTAAACAGTACAATAGATTAATAATTTATTTCTTGCTTGAAGAATTCTCATCTTATTGAAGGTAATAATAGTAAATGATAAATGATATGTTTGTGTCAGGCTTTCTGGAACTGGGTTGAGCACTACCCTGATGAGTTCACTATGCTCTATCAGAGACCGCAGGCTGATATGGCTGGTTAGTGACACCATAACTCATATCCAGCTTGAATTGTTTACTAGATTGCTTGATGAAGTCCAAATTTACATGTGTAAAGATTAAACTGGGTGTTTCTGTGTATGCAGACTGTGCAGAAAAACTGTTCGACCTGGTGGACAGTTTTGCAGAGAGTGCAAAGAGAAAGGCTGCTGTGTGGCCGCTACAGATCATCCTCCTCATCCTCTGTCCAGAGATCACTCAGAGCATCACCAAAGAAGTAGGGGGGGAGGAGAAAGCTAACAAGGTCAGAGGTCACACAGTGAATTAGACTTCTATTCCTGCATCTTTTATTAACTCCTGTTGTTTCCAAAGTCTTTTATTTTGAAGTTGAGCATTGGAACCAATCACAGACATATGTTTTGTGCATGCAAATGTTTTTGGAGACAAACCTAGCTGTTTTGTTGTCTTCAACAGAAGTCCTTTGTGGACAGTCTGCGGAAGGCTCTGGGACAACACAGCGGCAGCAGACAGTTGACAGAGAGTGCGGCCGTCGCATGCGTCAAACTATGCAAAGCCTGCACCTACATCAACTGGGAGGACAATTCTGTCATCTTTCTCCTAGTTCAGTCAATTGTCATGGACCTTAAGGTGAGGAGGACCATTTTTTGAGTAAACAATTACAGAGCAATACATGTCTGAAGGGAATGAAGAACATTTATTCTTGTATTTGTACAGTGTCCCAACTTTTTTGGAATTGGGTTTGTAGTTTTGTGTAACTTTGCTCTCTCTTTTCTCCCAGGGTCTTCTGTTTAACCCTACTAAGCCATTCTCGAGGGGTGCGGGCTGCCAGAGCGCTGATGTGGATTTGATGATTGACTGCTTTGTGTCATGTTATCGCGTCAATCCTCGTAACAACCAGCATTTTAAGGCAAGCTTGTTTATTAAATCTTAGAGTGTCAAGCATTTTGCAAGGAGATTACAGCAAATAGTAGACAATCAGTAACCAAAGATTTTATATTTATATAAAATGTATATTTATATTAGTAATTTTATATTTATAAGATGATAATATATTTATATTTATTAGTGCTGTCAAACGATTAATCGCATCCAAAAAAAATTTTGTTTGCATAATATATGTGTGTGTTCTGTGTATATTTATTATGTATATACAGGTGCATCTCAATAAATTAGAATGTCGTGGAAAAGTTCATTTCAGTAATTCAACTCAAATTGTGAAACTTATGTATTAAATAAATTCAGTGCTCACAGACTGAAGTAGTTTAAGTCTTTGGTTCTTTTAATTGTGATATATATATATATATATATATATATATATATACACACACACACACATATGCATGCATGCATGTATTTCAGATTTTTTTTTTAGATATTAAATATATTTGTTTATAATATAAATTATATAAATATAGACATGTAAATATTTTCAAAATATATACTGTATGTATGTGTATTTATATATAAATAATAAATATACACAGAACACACACATATATTATGCAAACAAAAACTTTTATTTTGAATGCGATTAATATCGTTTGACAGCACTAATATTTATATTAGTAATATTATTACTATCGCAGCATATTGAGCTAGTCAACATCCATTTCAAGACCAACTTTAAATCATTGCTGTAACCATCATTGCCATATATATGTATATGTATATGTATATATGTGTATATATATATGTGTATATATATGTGTATATATATATATATATATGTATATATATATATATATATATATATATATATATGTATGTATATATATTTATTTATTTATTTTAATAAATTGAATTCTTTGCTAGGTATGCCTGGCCTCGACTTCTCCTCCTACCTTCCATTTCGTCCTGGTAAACTCCCTGCACAAAATTATCACCAATGTAAGTATGATCTCTTTATAGACATTCATGCAATGCAAAATTATTAAAGTATTATGCAAATGAGAAGCAATTTTAAATTCTAATTGATAGACCAATGATGCAAATAAATGATCTCCGATTGTGAGAGTATTGATTATTGTTCATGATAAAATGCATTTTGTGATGCTGTAATTTCTATACAGACATGAATAATGTTAATTTTTAGCAGCAAAAAAATGCTTTCTTGTCAAAATCTTCTTTTTTTTTTTACCAGCAATTCATGCCATACATGATCAGATTTTTTTTATGGCCATTTACATAGCCCACCAATAATGTTAGTGGATCCGTCATTAAGAATGCCTTCTAGCAACTTCCATGTTGCAACAATGAAACGGTTTATTGCTTTTTAAAGTCAGTGTAAAGGCAATTCAGAGAATTGTTTCTAAACTCATTATAAACATGTTACAAATAATGTGAACTATGTAGTACTGAATTGTGGAGTTAGACCGTTAAACAGTTTTTCACCATTTTTGTGTTCAGGATTTTTTGGGGCGGGCCTGAAATCATGTCTCGATGATGCACTGGAGCGACTGAGCACGGCCCCACCCCTAACACTATAACAACTAGATTTCATTAGCATCAGTGGTTTGCCCGCTCAGTCTCGAGTTACTGTCATTACCGTTTGTTACTACAGCCTACAGTTTGCTAGCTAGCTATGCTTTCGTCACGTAAATGCATGTTTGGCTGTGTAAATCCAATTAAGCTACTAGAGGGAGCATCTATTGAGGTTGTAGCAATATTTGACAGTTGAGAGAGGCGGCAGCTTTCCTGCAAGTGGGCCTGGTTTCAGTGCAGACAGCGGACATGCCCCCAGTGTTTGAGAGCAGAGAATACTGCTTATTTTTTCAAGGTTTTGATAACCTATGCACTTGCCTTTTTTTTTTTATCATTCAGATTTGGCTGGGTTGTTAATAACACATTTTTCTGTGGTGTGACAAACTCAGAACACATATTTAATATTGCTTTACACGGACTTTAACGTTTCACATTCATGTGCTTGCTAGTCACACCTGGACTGGTGGCCGAAGATTGACGCCATCTACTGCTACTCAGGAGAACTGCGCACCATGTTTGCGGACACATTGGGCCGAGTGGTTCAGAGTCTTGGTGCCCATCCACCTCTGAGGATGACATCGGTGAGACACACACTAATGCTATACATTAAGACACATAATCATCCATACAGTTTATGATGTATAGAAAAACACTGGCCTTTTTTGGTGTTAAAGTTGCTTTTTTTTCTTGCAGAGTCTGACATTCAAAGAGAAAATGACAACTAGTTTAAAGTTCAAGGAGAAGTCCACTGACCTTGACTCGCGTTCTCTGCTGCTGGCCCTGGTCAAACTCATCCACGCTGACCCCAAATTAATGCTGCACGTGAGTTTTTGGCAGTAATATGTATGAAATAGTCATTTAGTTACCTTTCGTATTTAAGTAAGTTATCTTAGAGTTGTCGCAGCGTATTAGGCTAGGGCTGGAAAAAGTATTTTAATGTCAGGAAAGTTGAACATGTCACCTTTGACGTCTTGCTCCTTTAATTCTGATAAAATGCTCTAATCCAACTGTGTTAGTGTTTTCTGACTGGTTCAAATCCTGGATTATCCCGATTAGGATTTACATGTGTATTTATTTCTTTTTCTTTTTTTTTTTGACTGAAAAAGACTGGTTCTTTTTCACAGTCTTTCCTTAACATGATTTGATATGAACTGTGATTTGGCCTACAATGGTCTGTTTAAATATCTAAGCTTAGCAATAGACTTGTAGTTTAAGGATGGTTCTTATCAAATTTGACTCCACTAATTGCATTTTCTCACCATCAGAACCCAGGGAAACCTGGTCAAGAGATCCAGAACAGCACAGCTGAGCTCATCAAAGGTCTGGTCCAGCTGGTTCCGCTCAACCACAGTGCTGAGTTTTCACAGGAAGCCATGGAGGTAAGACGTTCTTTGAACCTCTAATTTGGTATTGTTAACCAAAAACTAAAACGTTTTTTTTCTTATTTGAAATAAAGCTATAAAAAATAACATTTAAATAAGATTCTACTTGGATTAAAGATTCATTCAATTTAAATATAAGATTCTACTAAAACTAAAATAAAAAGAAATTAAAGCTTAATAGGAATATTAAAACAAAACTTTATTAAAATGACAAAAGGACATAATAAAAAATAAAAATATATACTTAATAGCATATAAATTATACTAACACTGCTACTTTGAATTCTTATGATTGTGCTTTTTTTTTTTTTGAATAAAGACATCTCCTTTACTCATTCTTGTATTCTCACCCAGGCACTGTTGGTGTTACATCAGCCAGAAACTATTGAGCTGTGGAACCCTGACGCACCCATTGAGACCTTCTGGGACATCAGGTGGGCATAAAAAGATTGGGTGAGGTTGTTAAGTTGGCAAGTGGAAAGATTATCTGACTATATTCTCCTTACTCCCCTCTCAGCTCCCAGGTCTTATTTCTGATCTGCAAGAAGCTGATTGGACATCAGATGATCAACAGTACAGAGATACTGAAGTGGCTCAGGGAGATTCTCTTATGTAGAAACAAGTTTCTCCTAAAGAACAAGGTAAACACACATGCTGTCTAAACATGAACATCTAAATGTATGATAAAATCATCCTGAAATCTGTGACAATGATCCACTCTGATAAAATGTGCTCATTCATGTCTCATTGGTGTGCAGGAGTGTGCCACACAGGGCAGTCTCATTCTCATCAGCAAACAGGCTCAGACCAAGCTGGAGGTGTGTCTCTACACCTTCCTGTGGAGCCCTGACGCAGAGGCTGTGCTGGTGGCCATGTCCTGTTTCCGGCATCTCTGCGAGGAGGCGGACATCCGCTGCAGTGTGGACGAGCTGCCTGTGCACACGGTCCTGTCCAACTACAACACCTTTATGGAGCTCGCCTCTGTCAGCAATATGATGGCTACAGGTTAGTGGTTATTACAACAGTCTCTAGATTAGACTGACAGCTTTAAGCTTTAGGGACACTGTCTTTTCCCCCCCATAAATTCAGCTAGTTTTGAAAGCCACTGAAGTGAACATGGACTGTTCTTGTGGTCTGAGGTTTTGTGAAATGTTTCACCTGGAAAATTTTTTAGAATTTCTATCAAATACTACTCTGAAAGATCATGTATAGTTCTTGTTATGTTGTGAGATATATTTATTTTTTGTGGCCAAGAAAATAGCATTTGATACTGATGTGGCAATATAAATATATTTAGTAAATTAATTAATATATTTATTTTTGGCAATGAATATGGCATTTGATACTGATAATCATAATTTTGTATCAGTAATCATAATTTGTATCTTTTTTTATTTTTTTGGTCTCATTGCAAAATAAAACAACCTTCAATTTGTATGTGCATTTGTGCGTTCAGGCCGCAACACACTTCAGAAGAGAGTTATGGCACTGTTAAGGAGGATAAAACACCCTACAGCTGGAAATGTAGAGGTAAAGATTTAAATTTGTCAACTTATGTGATCTTATTTGTCATTTGTTTTTTCAGTTATTAATTGCTAATCATTGAGATCCATTGCAGCAGCTCTATTAATTTTAGTTGTCTCAAATTTGACCTTTTTCAATCTTAGGCATGGGAAGACACACATGCAAAATGGGAGCAAGCTACTAAACACATACTCAACCACCCGAAAAACAAAGTGGAAGATGGACAGGTAGTTAAAAGAACACTAATCAGTCAAATATATAATTTTTCCCCCTCTACCAGCTATTTTTCTCTCTGTCCTCAGGAGTGGATCAACATGACCGGTTTCTTGTGCGCCCTGGGGGGTGTTTGTCTCCAGCAGCGCAGCACCCCTAGCCTAGGCACCTACAGCCCTCCTATGGGCCCCCTAACCGAACGCAAGGGCTCCATGATCTCTATGGGCTCTTGTGAGGTGAACAGCGAGACGTCTCTTAACAGGTTTCTGGACCGTCTGCTGGGTCTCATGGTCTGTACACATGAAAAGGTGGGCGTGCAGATTCGCACCAACATCAAAGACCTTGTGGGACTGGAGCTCAGTCCAGCTCTCTACCCCATGCTCTTCACCAAGCTACGCAACAGCATTGGACGGTTTTTTGAGACCCAGGGTCCGGTAAGAGATGATACTCCTTGAGATGCAGCTGTAGGATTAGATATTGTGTTAGAAGTAGTGCACTTTATATTTTTTATTTCATATATGTGGAGGTGTAATTTAACACATTCAGAGCATAAAGATCATTCTCGCGAAGAACTGGTTAATATTGCACTCAAATAAAACAAATGTTTTATTATAAATAAAATAGAAATTATTTTAAGGTTTTATGTTGTTATTTAAATATCTTTGTATATATGTGTATGGTTATATTTGTTATTATTTTTGTATATTTAAATATTTATAGCATATTTAAATATTTTATCATATTTATTTAATATATATAAATTAACGTAAATTAAGTACAACAATGTCTCTAATTGTCATGAAAAAGCCACAATGCAAAAATGCTCTTAAAAGTATGCTTAATTTTCTATTACAACATACTGGCAACAAAATACAACAAATTACTCAACTGATCAAGCATTCAAATCTCTTCACAAAATAGCGGTCATGTATAGTTTTGGACACAAGGTGGCAGAATACCAACGTTGTCAGATCAATCCAGACAATGCACTCCTTTTAAATACCATCAAATCAGCACTCGGTGATCTATTTCATCTAGAATCTTCTAACACACTGGAATCTTTTGTAAATACTATAAAATTTTATATATTATCAGCATCACGTCACATTCTGCATAAGTATCAGCCACATTCTGTGCTGGCGTCTTTGTTCTTAAACGTTCTCATTTTCTTCTTCAGGTTCCCATTACAGACACAAACACACTGTTTGTAGAGCAGACCATCGCCATCATGAAGAACCTGCTTGACAGTCACACTGAAGGAAGCTCAGAGCACCTCGGTCAAGCCAGCATTGAGACCATGATGCTCAACCTAGTTAGGTGAGACTTTGATTCACACTTAAAAATGTTAGTATAAACACTGGATTTGCATGGATGGTTGGTGATTTAATGAAAAGAGCATTAAGAAGTTTATTTTTCCATTAAAAGGTTTTTCTTAATGCTCCCTATCTATTTCTGTTTCCTTTTTCGGTCATCCTCAGGTATGTGCGTATTTTAGGGAATGTTGTCCATGCCATTCAGATCAAAACTAAGCTGTGCCAGCTAGTGGAGGTGATGATGGAACGCAGGGATGATCTCTCCTTCTGCCAAGAGATGAAATTCAGGTAAACTTAAACAAAAAACATTGAAGTTTTTTGCTCTTATGCTTATCAAGGCTGCATTTATTTTGTGAAATATTATTACGATATATGATACATGTTAGCAACGTTACACGTCCAAGTGTTTCCCCAACTATCAACACGATTGCAATGTGACACTAATTTTATACAACCCATACATAAAGACATTTACTAGACGTTTCTGTATGAATCAGCCATTTGAACAAATCAGTTGAATTAATGACTAAATGACTCACTCATTAAAACCACCCTGTTTCATGTTTTAATGCATGACCTCTTAGAACTTCCGTAGTTGAAGTGACGTGACATGTGGCCAAGTATGGTGACCCATACTCGGAATTAGTGCTCTGCATTTATCCCATCCAAAGTGCACACACACAGAAGTGAACACACACACACACCGTGAACACACACCTGGAGCAGTGGGCAGCCATTTATGCTGCGGCGCCCGGGGAGCAGTTGGGGGTTCAGTGCCTTGCTCAAGGGAACCTCAGTCGTGGTATTTAAGGTGGGAGAGAGCGCTGTACATTCACTCCCCCCACCTACAATCCCTGCCGGCACGAGACTCGAACCCACAACCTTTGGGTTATGAGTCCGACTCTCTAACTATTAGGCCACAACTTCCCCCATTTTTAAAAGTATCATTGCATTTTTCCCAACATTTCTAATTTGTATGTTCAAAAAATTATTTAAAACATTAATCTTCTAAAATTATTTATGCATTTGCAATTTTGCGGTTTATATGCATTTATGGCACCTCAGCTTCATTAAACATTCTGCGTAAATACATCTGATGCCACTTCAAATGCAGCTTCTGTTTCCTTCAGTGGAAAGATGGAGTTTGTTGATACTGATTTCATTTGAGTGGAAACAAATCTACAGTTGAAATTAATTGAAAGAATGTAACAATTTGATGTGAAAGATGACACATTTAATAAGGTTAGGGAAAAAATTACCATTTATAAACATAGTTAGAAATTACATCTGCTTTGTTATACAGCAACTCATTTTCAGTTAATTGTTTTTTCTACCTTTTTCTAGTCACAGAGCACTTTATTTTGAGAGATGTTCAAGTGAGGGAACATCTGTAACTTAGTCCAGATTGGGTGAATTAAAATTGTAATGTTTAATAATGTAAATATTTTTTTTGCATTGAAAAAAGTAGATTTTTGTTTGTATATGCTGTCAATTATATAGTTGTTAGAATATCTGAATCAGCAAAAAAATTGTATTGACAGGTCACACTTATAAAAAATCGGAAATGACCCCAAAAAAATTGCAATCAGTGCATTTCTTATATATATATATATATATATATAAGGACCTTTAGAAAATGACCTCATCAGTGAAAACAAGACAGCAACATGCCAACAACTCGAAAGCTGTAGAACCCAAGTTTAGCTAAGTACCAGCTAAGGCATTTTAACAAAGACCAAAAATCAGGTTTCACTCAACTGACAAATGATCCGTATTACTTATAAATAAATGTATAAATATTATCATTGTATATTATATATATATATATATATATATATATATATATATACACATACATATATACACACACTTCATTTGAAAAAAAAAAATCTTACTGACCCTAAACAAACTAAATTGCCAATTTGTTTTGATGATTGAGTGTGTGAATTGTGAGGTTATGAGATGTCTGATTTTGCTGCTTTTCTTAGAAATAAAATGGTGGAGTACCTCACAGACTGGGTGATGGGAATCTCTAATCAAGCAGCAGACGATGACGTCAAATGTCTGACCCGGTATCGTCTTTGCAGTTTAATGCCATTTATAATACGTGTAGGGGCTTAAAGCCTGACAACTTTTCTTATCTTTTCTCATGCTGTGTTTTTGTGAACATGTCACCATGAGAAAGGTTTTTTTTTTTTGGTACATACAGTGGAAGTCAATGGGGTCCAATGTTCCCAGCGTTCTTCAAAATACACAGAAGAAAGGCAATCATACATATTTAACTATCTAATTAACTCTGTTTTGCTCAGAGAGTGAAATATTGGGTGTATTGTTGGTCATTAGAGAGCTGTTGTGCTCAAGGTTCTGATGGTTTTCAGGATGAACTGGCCAGGGTGTTGGTGACACTGTTCGACTCTCGCCATCTGCTGTATCAGCTGCTATGGAACATGTTCTCAAAAGAGGTGGAGCTGGCTGACTCTATGCAGACCCTCTTTAGAGGAAACAGCCTAGCCAGCAAGATTATGACCTTTTGCTTTAAGGTAACATGAAACTATGTCAGCCATGGCACATTTAATTTATTTCAGTGATGGCGAATCTGACCCAAAACTTTTGAACGGTAGTGTATGTGCACTTAAAATCTGACTGTGTTTGCAGGTGTATGGCGCTGCATATCTGCAGAAGCTTCTGGAGCCGCTGTTGAGAGGAATCATCACCACGCCAGAGTGGCAGCAAATCAGTTTTGAAGTAGACCCTACCAGGCAAGATTACCTAGTTAAACTTATATTGTTAACACTGTTTAGCTTTTACTTCACCCTTAAAGGGGACATTGGATGCCCATAAGTTGGTATGATTATTCAAGCCCCAAGTGTACTTCCTTTTGTTGTTTTCTATTTCCCCCCCATAAATTATGGCCGATAACAAATAACTCTTTTAAACCAAAGCTGAGCTATCTCATACCCTCTTGCTCACAAGCGCTTGTCATTGCAGCCGTCTGTTGTTGTTGCAGTCTTTGCTATTTTGTTGTTCCGTATCTTTTCATTTACTACTGTGAAACAACGGCCTGGGACAGTGTTGCCACCTTGTGGAACATCTGATTACTGCAAAAATAATTAAATGCGCATGTGCGACCTGCGCATACAAAGTACATGCGGTTACAAAAATCGGGTGGTGCGCGTACTATTCTGATGACGGAATTTGCGTCACGCGCACTGTACGCTGTCCCTCACGTAGTGGTTGTGTAAAACAACACCCCTTTTACCTTGTCAAAAACAGCTTTGTTCACAGCGACCCGTTCCGGTGCATGTCTCTTTAAATGAAAATGAGCTACTGCTCACTCCACCCCTCTCTTCCATTTTTTTTGTGTATTTGGTGGCGCGTTACCGTCAAAAACAAAATTAATGTGTGCACAGTGGCTCTGATGTCGGGAGAAAATTAAGACTCTTATGTTCACTTTTACATCCAACTACAAAACACCTGCATTGCTCACAAGACATTGAGTACGTTTACATAGACAACAATATTCCGATATGAACACGATTAAGATAATACTCTGATTAAGAATCTACCATGTAAACAGAGATTTTTGATTACCTTAATCCGTCTGAAGTCATACTCGAAGTAAACACAAATCAAATTAAGACATGTGGAGTATTCCTATTTTAGTCACATTATTGAAGTGCAGTATAGACATGTACACACCTTAATCACACTATTACCGTTGTGTAGGAATTTTCGCCGCATTTTGCGACCGGATACACACATGGCAGTGGTGGTTATGTCCGATGTCCCCTTTAAAGAAGTTCTCCATGATGTACATTTGAACACTCTTCAAAGTACAGATGGGTTTGTATCATTGAGTGCGTTTACATGCAACCTCTTAATGTGATTATAATGAGATTTTGGGAATATTATGATTAAACTTTACCACATGTAAACGCAATACTTAGATTTAAATAATTTGATTAAACTCATAATCGCAGCAAGCATAATCGATAACATCGATTTTAATTTAAATATACAGGCATGTAAACACCTTAATCGCAGCATTGCTGCTCTGACCAAAGTGCACATGTGCTTGTGACATACATGAATGACGTGACGCGCACCTGTAATAATACGCAGATTAGAAACGATGGCGGGGAAGAAAGCATTGCATTTCTGGGGAAAACACAACTCGCTGCCACCAGTCTGTTCTTTACCGTCATCCAGAAATGGCGAACGCGATGGCAGCGTAGGCAAACAAATTGCCAACACATTTCTATGGCACCAAAAAAGCATGTAATACAACCATACAAACGTGTTTTGCATTAGACGTAAATATATTAAAACAGCGGCCAGTAACACACCTGCTCTTTCTGAGTCCATCATTTGTGCTGTGCAGTGGGGTGTGTGAATAACGGCAGTAAAAAAAATAAACTACAATTCTTAGCGAATAATAAGAATAATGGAAATTGCATCTAAACGGGCGTGAAGAGCTTTGCTCTTGCCATGTAAACATAATGCGATTAAGTCCTTACTCTGATTATTGGAAATAATCGCATTATTCGTGCGCATGTAAACGTAGTCATTGTCATTCAAATGTTTAATTTGTCGTTTCTTCTCTTTAGGCTCGACCAACAAGCAGAGAACCTGGAGGAGAACCAGAAGAACCTGCTGCAGATCACAGACCGCTTCTTCCTGGCCATCATCAACTCTTCAAACGAGTTTCCTCCACAGCTGCGCAGTGTGTGCCACTGTCTCTATCAGGTATGTTCACTGCCTAATGCCAGTCTGCATTTTTTTTTTTTTTTACCCGTTACTGCATCCTCTGAATGACTGCACTGAGGCTGTCTTTCTTGCTTGAGCATCCACTGATCAGTCTTCCAGTCACTTCTAACCCTGCTCTTATCCTCTCTCACACCACTGCTCACCTCTGTCTGTCTGTGTACAAATATATCAGACAGTTTAAATGCCCCCATTTCCTTCAGATACACACTTCAGATACATTCAAAGTCTGGGGTTGGTAGGATTTTTTTGATGTTTTTTAAAGAAGTCTTTAATGCTCCACATAGCTGCATTTTTTTGAACAAACATGCTGTAAAAACAGTAATGTTGTGAAATTTTGTAATAATTTAAAGGGGTCATGATGCGATTTCAATTTTTCCTTTCTCTTTGGAGTGTTACAAGCTCTTGGTGCATAAAGAAGATCTGTAAAGTTGCAAAGACTAAAGTCTCAAATCCAAAGATATATTCTTTATAAAAGTTAAGAGTCAGTCACACCTACCTAAAATGGCTCGTTCTAACACGCCCCCACATGTCTACGTCACTATCTGGGAAGATTTGCATAACACCGCCCAAATGTTCACGCAAAGAAAGAAGGCATAACTTTTATTCTCGCCGTAGTATTGTTGTTGCCGCCGCCATGTTGTGAAGACGCTGTGTGTTTCGTTGTGAAAGCGAAACTACTTTGTTTGGCCTTCCAAAAGAGGACGATATCCGCTTCGTCATGCCTGGAGCTGATCCGTGCTGGTCGCTGAGGAAACATTTATACTTCAACTTTGCGTGGTGGATCATCAGATCGGCTTTCACCGTGGACGAAGCGGAGTCCAGCCTGGGGTCGTCACATGTGGTTGCCGCAGGCATCACAATATGGTGAGGGGCGTAACATTTCTGTCACACGCTTGAGGAATTCGGCCAATCACAACGCACTGTATAGCTGGCCAATCAGAGCACACATCGCTTTTTCAGACCGATGAGCTTTGTAAAAATCGACGCGTTTCAGAAAGGCGGAGCATAGAGGAGAAACAATAATGTACAGTATGTAGAAAATAATGTGTTTTTTGAACCTTAAACCGCATAAACACATTTCATTACACCAAATACACAAAATAATGTTCTTTTTAGCAACATCATATGACCCCTTTAATATAACTATTTTCTATTTTAAAATGTAATTTATTCCTGTGGAGGCAAAGCTGAATTTTCAGAAGTAGTTCAGTTTTCACTGTCACCTGATCCTTCAGAAATCATTTAAGCATGTTGATTTGGTGCTCAACAATAATTTTTTTTTGTGTTGTGCTGCTTAATATTTTTGTGGGAACCATCAAACATTTTTTCAGAATTGAATAGAATTTATTTGAAATAGAAATATTTTGTAACAGTGTGAAAATCTTTATTGTTTTTGATAAATTTTATGCATCCTTGCTGAATAAAAGCATTAATTTCTTTAAAAAAAATCTTACTGACCCCACATGTTTAGACAGTAATGTACAGCCCGTAACCGGTTTCCAATAGGGTTATCATGGTTATCATATGTTCTTTTTCTGTTATAATGACCCCAAAAGGGATATGTTAGAATGTTTAAAATGTTACTGTTGTCTTAAAATTTCTTGTGTTTGAATGGCAAAATGGCAATCCTTCATACTTCCGGTATCCCCATTAAAGTTTAATGTATCCGAAAATGACGACAAATGGCAAAGAAGATCTGCGGAATCATTTGCTGCTGTACATGCAACAACAGACATACAGATTCAGTTTGGTCAGGAAATATATTTTGATAGTGCTTGAAGCTGTATTGCGAAAGTTTATATGTCATGAGCAGGTAAGAATCACAATTCTCCTAGCTGCAATAAACTGTATATATATCACACATGGGGTTTGGTACATTTATATAATGTAAACAGTGTATTCAGCCCACAGTTAAAATCACTTTGTACAAAAACAATTAATTTTGTTCCTTTCCATTATGACTCGAATAGAAAGAAATTGAAGGTGGTGTTATGTAGTTGGTAGTGTATCTTTTTAGTGAACCGAAAGTACCAAGTTCTCATTTGAAAGGATCAACTGTCTTTCTCATGTCTCTGATGTGACTGCACTCTGTCAAGGGCACCATCTTGTGGACATAAAGTTGTTTTTTAAGAATAGAAAAGGAAGCTTTGAATGACAAAACACCTTTTATTTTCTTCTTTCTTAATTACGTGTGGTTTTGTTTTCTTCTTGTTTTCTTTCATGGCCTTTCTTGTCTTGTTTGTAATCACGAGGATCGGGTTGTGATGTTCGGCTTATTAAGTCCCATAAAATTGAAATTATAGTTTTGTTGCATATAGTTAGCTTTGAGGTCATTGCTAGTGAACTCTTAAAATTTTCCGTTTAGTAGATACACACATTTAAACAGTCTTTCCTTTCTGAAAAAAAATGTATGACTCATCCTATCAAATCAGCTGCAACCATCAGTCCTGCTACACACTTCCTTCTATCTTCTGCATGGTCCACTTGCGTCCTCATACATGCAATGCACATATTCTGGTCTTTAATTTCCCGCGGCTAGCGTTAACTTATCGCTAATATCTTTACACTCTTAATATTTTCATACTTTGTTTGCTTGGGCCGAGAGCTTTCTCTCTTCTCTCTTCTCCACTGTAGCATTTTACTGCTTTTGCTTTACTTTGTGCTTGGAGAGCTTCAGCCGATGTTTCTTAATCACTGAAATAAACATGAATGAAATTGTTCAACGGTCAGCTCTTAGGAAGGCAGTGGTTGTGTTGTCTGCTCCTTCATTGTGTTTGTATGCACTGTGGCTGTGCTGAGCACAGTTGTGTAGCTGCTGTGACCTCTCTGTGCTCATCTCTGCCCTGTAGGCTACTTGCCACTCCCTTCTGAATAAAGCCACTGTTAAAGAAAAAAAGGAAAACAAAAAATCCGTAAGTGTTTTAGCATTTTATTTTTTCTTTAGCTACCATTTGTTATTAGTTTGGGGTTTATTCATACCATAAATGCAACATGTTTTTTGGTTTGTTTGTGTTTTTTATGTTTATTTTTTATTTTTATTATGAATTTGTTCGTTTGATTTTTTTTTTTCATGTTTTGGGATTTTGCTTTTCGCCAGAACATGTTCAGAAACACCTGTGTAAACAGCATTGTTTGTAATATATACTGTTTTCTTATGAAGACACCTTCGTTTTTTTAACACAACATTGTGTGGAAAACGAGCAGCTAAACAAACAAAATAATTGTACCGCTTTGGATCACCTTTTTTCCTTTGATTTTCAATTGTTGTGGACTGGGTCGGTGGTGGCGGGCAGTTTGGATCAGTTCAGCTTTTCTGTGTCTTGCGGTAAAGCAGAAGACTCTTTCTTTGTGTGGGTTTAAGGTCTATTCTAACATGAAGACAGTGTATCCTCAGATATGCAGACCTTTACCCTGGTACGGACTAGGTCTACCTTCTGAGAGTCTATAAACTTTCTGAGATTAAATTAGAAAACATTATGAATCTGTATTTTGACTCCTGGAAGAGTCTTGTCTTTCTTGGAAAGCTTTTAATGAAGGTGTTAAGTGATTTGCATGCTTGAATACAGTCTAATGAACATGTTGGCGTTACTATGGCTTGTCATGTGCTTTATGGGTCGTCTTCAAAACAGTGGTTGTGCATGTTTTCAATTTCAGAAACCATTGGTGCATATGCATGCTTGATAATATATGTAATGGTGTAAAATATCTAATTATTCCCACATTTAATTTTCTGTCTGTTTGTTTTTCCTCATTTTCTTTCATTTGCATTTGCTAGGACCATCACAACATGGCCATGGTGCATTTTAATTGTCTTTTTGATTGATTATAATCAAAAAGGGAAATTGGCCTAATGGTTAGAGAGTCGGACTCGTAACCCAAAGGTTGCGGGTTCGAGTCTCGTACCGGCAGGGATTGTAGGTGGGGGGAGTGAATGTACAGCCCTCTCTCCCACCTTAAATACCACGACTGAGGTGCCCTTGAGCAAGGCACTGAACCCCCAACTGCTCCCCGGGCGCCGCAGCAAAAAAATGGCTGCCCACTGCTCCGGGTGTGTGTGTGTGTGTGTGTTCACTTCTGTGTGTGTGCACTTTGGATGGGATAAATGCAGAGCACTAATTCCGAGTATGGGTCACCATACTTGGCCTCATGTCACGTCACTTATTATTATTATTATTATTATTATTTTTTTTTTATTATTATTATTTTTTTTATTCATATTAAAACACTGGTTACTATCAAAAAATATATAAAAACAAAATAAAAAAATTTTTATTTTAGATTTTGAAATTGTTAGATGTAAAATTGGTGCATGTAAACGCATTAGTTGTCAAGTTTTTGATTTTCTGAAAATGATACACAAAGAATCAGTTAATTACCAAGATTATTATTCCTTTTTTTATGTAAATTTATGCAAAAGAGTATTCTTTGGTTCTCAGTAGTGGTAGGCTTAGAAAATGTTTACGTAAGATGTAGGGATTCACCGATACCGATACTGGTATCGGGCCCGATACTGAGCTCCTCTACTCGTACTCGTTAAAATGCCCCGATACCAAATGCCGATACCACACAGCATGTGATAAGCGTCATATTCAAACAAAGAAACACGGACAACAGAACAACAGACAGCAGAAAGGAGTTAAGGATGTCTACTATGAAGTATATGTATGCAATGAATATAATGTTAAACATTCAGTGCGGTGCATTATCAAGATGAATTTGTTCTGACACAGTGTAACTCTGAGTTCTTGTCAGATTTTATTACCAGATGCGCAGATGCGCGAGCTTGTCGAGTGAATATATCTTTCTCACAGACATCACTGGAAAGTTTGTAGTTCGGTCGGATATGTCAAAAACAAGTAAGTAAAACAATGCACAAGTTACTTAATGGTAGAGAAAGAGAGAGAGAGCGCACTTTTGTTGTGTGATCTTTGTTCACTCACTTAGCACACGCATCATTTGGATTAAAACGAAATCGTAAAAATAAAACCATTCATAGGGGCAGTCACTATAAACATCATGTATTTTCAACCTTAGGCATACACGACTTTCTGGCGAAAGTGAATCTAGCAGCCTGTGTGAAATGCGCTAGGCTGTACTACTGTCATCTCATTCTGCATCAGTACAAATACCTGCTCGCGTTGCGTGTGTTTTGCTTGCTTGAGTGTTTCTGCATTATATGAGTGGCTTTGGAATATAAATCGCAGCATGTTTCAGATGAAAAAATGCGGCTTCTATTTCTGAAAATATCACAGTTAGCAGATTTATAACGAGTGGTTCCCTGCATTATTATAGCAAAGCACGTGATACAGTACTAAGCCGCTGCAATGGAGCAGCTCTAATGCTACCAGTAAAATTGATACAAATTTGGGTCCAAAAATTATTCAGACCGAGTCTGGGAAAAAAAACTGAAAACATGCCCAGGAGACTACAGGCTGTCATTGAGGCTAAGGGTTGCCTGACAAAGTATTGATAGTTGTGTAAATACTGTCATACTAACAGCTGTCTGAATTATTTTGGTTGATTGTAATCTATTACATACCTTTCTATCAAAATTATCTAACATTATCAAGATGAATTTGTTCTGACACAGTGTAACTCTGAGTTCTTGTCAGATTTTATTACCATTTTCTAAACTATAGTGAATATAATGTGAGAAATGTTGAAGGTGTCTGAATAAATGTTGGTTTGACTGTATCTATTTGATAAATTAAGTTAACCAACTAACCTTATACATACCCTTTTGGTTTCTGTACCCAATATTTAAAAAAATTTACAAATGCAATGAAAATATCGGTATCGGTACTCGGTATCGGCAAGTACCAAAAATAAAAGTATCGGTATCGGGCGAGTACTGGAAAAAGTAGTATCGGTGCATACCTAGTAAGATGAGATCTTCCATAGTCTATTTTAAGTCTCAGTCTAGTTAGGTGGACTTGAAGTCACTTGAGACAGAAACAATTCAGTCATCTAAAAATAATTTAGGGCAGAATTGATCAATTATAGGTGTGGTGGAATTGTGGCCACAAATTGCCATGAATATTATTTTTAGGGTGTTTATGCATTGTCACATCCTGTTCTGCAAACATTTATTTTGTGTTTTAGTGTGGTAATGTTTATTAGTACTGTGTGTACATTACATTTTAATGGTTGATAATCAGTGAGCTGCATCAGTTTGCATCCTTGCGTCATACAAGTCATTTGACATTTGAATATTAGTTTGTTCTGCGCAAACACTGTATAATGTTTCAAGTCCCATGACTCTGTTTGTTTACTTTCTTGTAGAGCCTGTTTTTGCTGCCATGAAACACATTTATCAATTATTTTTCCCTTCTGCCATTCACATAGTTTCTTTCCTCATAATATTATTTTCTACATTTTAAACCTATTGAAATGTATGTTAGTATTGTTATATTTGAATTAAAATCATCATGGCAACGATATATCGGAAAGAATTTGACTTTTGCCTGTCATTTACTTATATTGCATCCTTCCAGAACTCAACTATCTTTCCTCTTGTTTCTCTCCATCCATTTGTGCAGGTGGTCAGTCAGCGGTTTCCTCAGAACAGTATCGGTGCAGTAGGAAGTGCCATGTTCTTGCGCTTCATTAACCCAGCTATTGTATCACCGTATGAGGCAGGCATCCTAGACAAGAAACCTCCACCTCGCATCGAGCGTGGCCTCAAGCTAATGTCTAAGGTAAGTAAAGTAATGCCATGTTCTTAGATATTATACATGTCTCCCATTTCCATCATCTGTGGTGAAGGATGTTGACTAACTGGCAAGATAAAATGTTTATTTATACCAATATGTTTATGTATACAAAATTTGTCTACAATATTTTTTTCTCCTTTTTTTTTCCAGATACTCCAGAGCATTGCTAATCATGTCCTTTTCACAAAAGAAGAGCATATGCGGCCCTTTAATGATTTTGTCAAAAGCAACTTTGATGCAGCCAGAAAGTATGTTTGTATTTGATTGATTCTCTTATATTAGATTATTTTTGTTTCTCTCTAGTGGAGATTCTTGATTTGTGCTAGATGTTCATCACATCAAAATATTTTTGATTATTTAACCTGAAAGAGAAACCTATGTTTTAAATGAGTATATTTGCTAAAAGTAATTTTGGCCATGCTTTAGGGGTATGCGAGTATATATGTGTCCTTAACTTAAAGATATGGACTTAATGGCCATAAAACTCCTGTTGTGATTTTATCGAGTCTTGAAACACAATGTTCAATGCACAATGCCCATCTGCTTCTCAGAAACTTTATGAACCTTGCCGTTCAAAATGCCTAATTTTTGTTTTGGCAGGTTCTTCTTGGATATTGCATCTGATTCTCCGCCAAGTGATTCTGTGAACCACAGTCTGTCTTTCATCAGTGACGGCAATGTGCTCGCCCTGCACCGTCTGTTATGGAACAACCAGGAAAGAATCGGCCAATACCTGTCCAGCAACAGGTAAAATAGCTTCTAGATATACAAAGAATGTCAAGTCATTTGCAAGGTATACAAGGTCTGTATGCTTGGGGTTTTTCAGTAACTAACCCATCTAGGTACAATCTGTTTCCTTTTTCTGTGGTAAGTGTTTAAGAGTTTAGCGCATGGAAAATTTGTAATGTATACAGTTTTAACAAACCTTGTAATCAAACTTTAAACCATAGGGACCACAAGGCAGTGGGTCGCAGACCGTTTGACAAGATGGCCACCCTCCTGGCGTACCTGGGCCCCCCTGAACATAAGCCAGTAGCTGACACACACTGGTCCAGCCTCAACCTCACCAGCTCAAAGTTTGAGGAGTTTATGACAAGGTTACTGTTCTTGCCTTTGCCAAAAGCTTGGATTTCTCTTCTCTTTAAATTTTACCCAGATAGCAAGAGTGAAGATTTCTAGTTAATACGTTTTTTTATTGGTGTTATTCTCACCTTTTTCTGTCTGGAGATTATTGTAGCTTTTTTTTTATTATTTTTTTTATGGATATGTAGTAGTTTCATTTGTTAGATCCAATGGTATTAATTTGTTTTAGCATCTGAAATTTTATTCCAAAGCCAGTTATATAATGAAATTAACGTCAAGTGCACACACAAATATGCACATTCACACATGACACATCAGTTCTGGCTTTACTAAGTTAACATTGCAGCCTATTCAGTATCAAACAAATATTGAGTAAGCCAAACCAGAAAAGTTACTTGGCTCAATTTAAACTTTCTGTTGTATAGTAGTGACAACTGCTTCACCGCAGTAGTACACAATACACATTTTTGCACATGTTGCTATTTTATGTGAATTTTGGGATACCAAGTGCAAGTCTTGTTTACATAATAAATAGTTTAGCAGCCAAATTTTACATTGCAAATATGGTAAAATTTGGATTTGTGCTGAATGATAGAGGTATGTGGGCTTATATATTTGGATTGTGCCATATGTCAGCTTCATTTTTTTAATATATATATATATAT